TGTCGGACACAAGAAACATTTGCCTCAGCCCAGTGCCAGCATTCTAGCAGGAGCGGATGGGATTAATGGCCGCTGGCAGGCTGTCCAGCTTCGCTGAAGCAAGTGCTTCGGGGAGAAGGAGCGCTCCGGCAGGCTCGGAGACATAATTCACACCAGCTGCCTTTGCTCCAGGTTCTCTTTCTCTCCCCTGGTGTGATAATGATCCTGATTTATTATCGAAGACACAGCAGCACCCTCCTCCCAAGCAGCGAGCTGTCTCTGCAGCCTGCCTGGGTCCTTACGGATACTCTTTATCCCTCCCATTTCAGCAAGCAGCAGCACGAGGCGGAGGAGAAGCTGTTGCCTGGAGATCAGACCGTGACCTCGATGCCCCGGCCGTGCCGCCTGCCGAGCGCTGTTGACCAAACCCGTGCCATTTCCGCACGGCCGGCCCGGCTGTGGACGGGCTCCCGGGGCGGCCGCATTACGCACGGCCGGAACGTCGGCTTTCCGAGCACTGCTGTCTTTCTTCGTCCACCCCGCGGTGAACCCCGGCCAGCCGTGGTCTGCTCTCTGGAACCGCAGCGTCACGTGAGGCGCAGGAGCAGCGACAAACCCAGCCGCGCGGCCGGCTCGTTCTGCACGCCCTGACAGCACCCGCTTCCTAAAGTGCATGTCCAGCACTTCACACACCCAGGATGAGCCTGGAACACAAATAACGCTCCCCCCTCGCCCACTCCTTTACGTAATCTCTGCCCCCACACGAACACGCGGATAGACAGACTCCAAGTCACGCAGGACTCGCGTCTTGCTTGCCGGGCCCTCAGCTACGTCGAATCCCGGCACACAGAACGCTCGTCAGGTCGTGCGCGCCGACTCCCTCTTCTCTGGTGCAAAGCCAATCATCTCGTTAATTAGCTGGGCAGGATCCCCGCCACCCCTCTGGTCTATCCCTCGCCACTGCGCCCAGGCCAGGAAACACATCAAGCTTTCAGCAGCGTGAAGCTGCCACGGGGTGGTCCCAAGCGTTGCCCGAAACGCCTGCGCTGCTGTCGGGCGAACGCAGTTCTGCATCCATACGCTCTGCTCTTAACGCAGGGAGGTCCCTGGGCCACGTTTAGGCTGGTGGAGCCTTTCCCGAGGCAAACGGAGGGACAGCTGGCATCTGCCCAGGGACACGGAGCCTGAGAGCAGCCACGCTGAAAGGCAGCTTGAGCTCCACTGCTGAGACTGCTTCCCAGGCACCAGCCACTCGGGATTCACTCGTGTTGCTGGGTAAGGTTTTGGCTTCAGGTAAATTTAAGCTCATTGCTTCCCCTGGCAGTTTGTTTCTCTCACCGAGCTCAGGTTGTTAAAGGTCTGGAAAGAAATTTCAGATACAGCTCTTGCAGACAGCTCATGGCGAGAAAACAAGAATCACAGACTCATAGAATCATAGGTTGGAAAAGACCTCTAAGATCATCAAGTCCAACCATCAACCCAACACCCCCGTGCCTGCTAAACCATGTCCCCAAGTGCCACATCTACACGTGTTTTGAACCCCTCCAGGATGGGGACTGCCCCACTGCCCTGGGCAGCCTGGTCCAAGGCCTGACCACTCTTCCAGCAAAGAAGTTTTTCCCAATCTCCAATCTAAACCTCCCCTGACGCAGCTTGAGGCCATTGCCTCCTGTCCTGTCGCTGGTTACTGGGGAGCAGAGACCA